TTAATTCGCGTTGGGTGATCATTGCCTAACAGTTCTGTAGGTGTGACTCTGCTTGGTTAATCTGCATTGGGGGGTCACTACCTACCTGATTATCTTGACCCTGCTTTGGTAATCCGCATTGGGGGGTCACTAGTGGTTCTGCTTGGTTAATCCGCATTGGAGGACCTAATATATATGGATCGTGCTTGGTTAATTCGTGTTGGGCGATCCTTATGGCCATGGATGCTTAGGAGTGATCATGTTTGGTTAATCCGCATTGGATGATCACTTCCTAACAGCTGTAGGAGTGACTTTGCTCGGTTAATCCGCATTGGGGGTCACTGCTTGCTTGGTTACTTTCTTAGGGTGGCTCTGCTTGGTCAATCCACTTTGAGGGGCCACTTCCTGTTTGGTTACTTATGTAGGCTTCGGCCGAACTGCATCCATCTAGCCCTAGTTTTTAATGTATATATGAAGAATGGTTTTTGAGAATCTTGTGATTTGAATTAGAAAAACCGATGGATGTCTGGGTGACTCATTCGGAGTTTCCAGTGACTTAGCTATGATTTCGTAAAAATATGATTTTATATTCGAGGTTTTATAAATGGTGATCGATGGTCTTTCTTTTATTGAATATCACATACTTGTATTATTGTCACTCACCCGTGCTTTGCATTTTATCTAAGTTCTGGTTGGCCAGTGCACCATTCCCCTGATGTAGGCACTGATCATACATGTGATGGATTTGGGTAGACTACGAGAAACACTAGATATTTTAGATTCCGTTGACTGGTCTGGAATCCTTACTCTTGTTCATTTCCATAAAGTTAGTTCGACCTAGATTCATGTGAGTAGGAATTGCTCACAGTAGACGTCATGTTTATAAATTAGAATTACCATGTTATTACTTGGAATCCAGGCATGGAATTATGTAGAATTCCTTTATTAAATTTCGTGCATTGGTATGTGATATTGTTGACTAATTAACGTAATTAAATGTGAATATCGCGCCTCCTTGATTCATGGAATTGGTTACTTGAAGTGATTGTGGAATGATGCTGGATATGAGTGTTGTTATTATGATTATTTTAGTTGATCAATGTTTCTAGAGAATAATATTGTGCATTGTTAATTCTTTAAGATGTTACATGCTATGAATTGTGATTTTATGTGGGAAACATGATGATTTATCTGATGGATGAAGTGGAAATGTTAATTATCATGTGGGATTGTTATGTTGGATATCATTGTTATTCTTATGATTAGGCTTATTGACAAATATGGCTAGAGTTATGATTGTGCTTCGTCGTTTGTTCTTTGAAATATTGCATGATATGCATTGTGGTATATTGTTGGGACATAACAATTTATGTGATGAATATTCGAATGTAGTGGAATAATGAACTACGAATGGCTTGATCCCTATTTAGGGTACGTAGACAGTCTAACGAGAATGTTAGATGCATCCATAAGGTCTGTGAAGAATTATTATGCAGTTGGATCTTAATTTGTGTTTTGCCATAACCCGAAGGCGGAGTATGTTAGAGATATGGGTATTTGGTGACGTCACGTGTCAATCCTGGACGTATGTTGGGATCGGGACATGACAATAATGCAGTGTCCGTTTCTTGGCTTTGTATTTTACATTTGGATTTGAACACTGCAATGCAGTGTCCATTTCCTGGTTCCGTTTTTCTGAGTTGAGCACACTCCTCTATGTAAAGGAAGGGTGAGAGATTGATAGAATATAAATGTTCTAACTATTTATCAGTGTTCTAAAAATCGGCCTAGGCGGCCACTTAGGCGTTAGGTGATGGAGTGCCGTTACGATTTGGGCCAAATTGTCCGACTGAATCGGGTAGGAGTTAGGCGCCCGCCTAGACACTTTCTAGGCGGTCTAGGCGGTAGTTTTTTTTTGGCGAATTGACTCTTTGGTCTTTGATGGTTGTCGGCGTCACATCTTTCGTTTCCAATCGTTGTTGTATCTTTAGCAAAAAATAAAAGATCTAAGGGAAAAGGGAGGATGGGAGAGAGAGAATAGTTAAGATTGTAAACTTGCACCACATCGAAGGAGGAAATTTATAGAGCAAAAGCAAGATAGAAGATGAAGAAGTGAGAGAGGAGGAAGAAGAAACGTAAAAAAAAAAAACCAAAATTAAGGCGTTTAGTTTTCCAATGCGTCAAATGTGTTGGTGTGTGTGTCCCGACTCTTATCATTCAATTGTTTTTAATTTTTTTTACATTATGTCTGACATAGATTGGGGCCTTGGGTTATGTGAGAGAGGTGGGAACCGTGGGATGAATCTTTTGGTGTGGCTTCACGGATTGGAACCTTGGATGATGTGAAGGAGGTTGGGTGGAGGGATATAAAAAAAACATTAAATACTAATTTTATTCAAAATATTTTATTTTATTATTTTATTCTTAAAAATTAAATTGTTTTGTTTTGGAAATCCTAAATAGAGAGGGGGATTTTTTTAGATTTTCCTCTCTTGAAGACCACACCGTACTATGCTTAAAACTCTAACATCAAATATGCGATTCTTTATTTTTTTTTATTTTTTTATGAAATAACATATTTTTCATGTTTGTTTTTATATCATATGGTAAATTTAATTAATTTGTAATAAATATACTTAAATCCGCCTAGCCCGCCTAGGCACTAGGTCCCAACTCACCGCCCGACTAGCGCTTAGCGTTTTTTATAACCTTGCTATTTATAGGATTCAAATCCTCTCAAGATCAATTCCATAGGGAGGGAAATCTAACGGTCAAAGCCTCTTCTTCTGTCTCTCTTCCTCCTCAATTCGTATTTCTCCCTCGCACCGCCACACCCCTACCCCTGTTAACAAACCCAAAATTCAATTGCAGGTCATCTGTGCTCTAAGTCTGATTTATTTTTTTGCTATCTCTTAATGTTTTAGCTTTTTATTTGTCATCTCTTTCTTCTTCTTCATCTTTGAGATTTTTCTCTCTATAATCTTCCATAGTTATGAAAAAGACCTATGCAACCAAAAAACATTGGCTCCCATTACCCCTCTCCTTCTTGTTTCGTTAACATTGGTTGAGATTTTAAGGTCGAGGGACTTGCAATTGAGGGATGAGGCGATGTTGGGGCTGATTTTGGAGAGGGTAAGGTGAGGACCTGCAATTGGGGTTATGGGTTGTGGCGGTGTTGAGGCTGATTTTAAGGTATTAAATTATATTTGGAATTTGGGGAGTTGGTGGTTCAAGGTTAAGAGCTTCGAAGTGAGGAAGAAAGAACATAGTTAAGGGGAAAAGATGAAGGATAAGAGATTTTGGCTGTTGGATTTATATCAATGGATGAGATCCATCGGTCTGGAGGATCCCCACAAAATTAATCTAGAGAAGATCTAAATCTGTATTTATAATAACTTAAGCCCATATGACATTCATAGAGAGAGTAAGATAGAAAAGTCAAATTCTAACTATTTATAATGATTTAAAGTCTATGTGGTATTTATCATTGACCTATGCGTAATTAAAAAAAAAAAATCATTGATCAAGTCCAAAACCAAAATATGTCATTGACATATTGTCACATTCTGGCCCGGGCCCCCACTACATCCCGGGCTTGACTCAACCGTTGCACGATATTGTCCGCTTTGGGCCCCGATGAAAGGGTTTAGGGGTTTTGTTTCTGGGAACTCACACGAGAACTTCCCAGTGGGTCACCCATCATGGGATTGCTCTCGCACGAACTTGCTTAACATCAGTGTTCCGATGAAACTCGAAGCCAGTGAGTTCCCAAAAGGCCTCGTGCTAGGTAGAGATGAGAATATACATATAAAGCTTATATGATCCACTCCCCTAGGCGATGTGGGATGTACGGACAATATCGTGCTATGACAAAGTCGAGCCCGGGATGTGGTGAGGGCCCTGACCACGCCCTCACAGTTTTGTTTTTGGAAACTCACAAGCAATTTCCCAGTGGGTCACCCATCCTGGGATTGCTCTCATGCAAACTCGCTTAACTTCAGAGTTTCGATAGAACCCGAAGCCAGTGAGTTCTCAAAAGGCCTCTTGCTAGGTAGAGATGAGAATATACATATAAGGTTTACAGGATCCACTCCCCTGAGCGGTGTGGGATGTTACACGTATGTCTTAATAATAAAGTTTTTATTGACTTTTGACGAAATTATCTTCTTTTTTTAACTATTTTGTTTATTTATTTATTTTCGTTTTCTTTTGATATTTGTATTTTTTGCTCTCACTTTATTTATATAGTAAAGATGTTTTTTTTTAAAATTATTTTTTTCAGTTATGGTTTTTTTTATCAATTTGTTCTCATTTTCTGAATATTTTGGATTTTATTGTGAAGGAAATAAAAGGGCATTTTAAGAGTTCAGAAAGCTTAACTATTTTGGTGTGCTCCTTTTATATATACAGGCAAGTATACTTGTAAGCATGGGTTCATTTATATTTTTGTCCCCATTGCACATGACTCAATGCCAGTGCCAGAAGCTGTCACCAACCACCATCATTGTGGTTGAAAATGATTTCTAGCTACCTGAAAATTTCTAATCATTGTATCTTTAGTTATGTTTTGCTTTGTTAGTTTATTATTTTTTAAACTTGATCAAAATTGGAGAACTTATGAAAATTAGAGAACTTGACCATAACTACTATAATTTAGCATTAGAGAACTCATGAAGAAATTCATTACTTCAAATTAGAGACCGAAAATTTTGATTGGCAAAAAATTTAATCAACCAGTTGCATAAAAAAGTTGGCCGATTGCAAAACGTGGCAGGATTGATTGACAATTATGTAACTATTTTAAATTATAGTAGTATTATTAGAATTATTTAGGTTGACTTTTCCATCAGTACCTAACTGATAACATGATATTATACATATACTAAAACCCAACACGAAAAACACTGTTCATTAACAGTGTTCTTCCTTTTTTGCCCTTGCTTGGTTCTTTTATTTCATTTCTGCCTGATTTACACGTGTCGTTATCGCTTTTAGGAAGGTGACTGAAAAAGCCGGGTCTTTCACTTTGCTTCCCGTACGTTCCATTTGCTTCCGTTACGTTCTTCTTCCCCCTCTCCACTCTCGCTCTTCACTTTCTCTCTGCAACCTTAAAACTCTCAAACCGCAAGCCAACCATAACCAAACCCTCATCAACTCTTCTTTCTCCGTTCTCTCTTTCCTCTCACTTTTATCTCCGTGACTCACTTAATAGAAAGTGTCTTTCGGCGGCGATTTCGGCAACGGCCGGCCTCGAGGTTGGTCTCAAACGGTTGCTCTTCACATCAGGTAGCTTCTAGACCTATTGCAGGTAAACGTCTGCTTCAAATTTCTAGGTTTTTAGTAATTTTTCATGCTTTTGTAAAAAATTTCGTTTAAATTTCTGGGTTTTGGAAAAATTCTTCATTGAACTTTTTATGCGATTTCAGTTATTCATTTAATTCCTTCCATCTCAGATGTCTTTATGATTTTAGAAATTCTTATATAAATTTTTTTTTTTTTGCATTTTTATTGTCAGTAATTTTTTTCAGATTTTTCTGTCTTTTGATTATTTTTTAGAGATATTGTATTAATTTTCTTTGACTCGAAATTTGGGGGTTTGTTAAGGTACAATGTTAATATATTGATTTTCTGATTTTGGGATTGGAAATTTTGAAGAAGTTGGACCACTTGACACTTTTGATTTTCTCAAGGTATGCCTGCACGATTGGTGGTTGATTACAGCCGAAAATGACGTCGGAGGGAAGAGGCTAGCATTTTCCGGCGTGACTTCTAGAGAGTGAGATACATTTCATTGTTCTAGGGTGTTATTTATTTTAATTTTTGTAATAAGATTATTTTGGGTTCAGTTCTTTTTTTCACAAGTGATGCTGAATTGACCACAAAAAGTATAAAAAAGTTGCAGACTTTGTGAATGGAAGAGAGCAAACGTAGCAAGTTCAGGAGGATTTGTGTGTTCTGTGGAAGCAACTCTGGCCTCAGGAAAGTGTTCCGTGACGCTGCTCTGGAGTTGGGCAATGAACTGGTATGACTGCTTTTGTTCTATTTTTACACTCTCTTTGCTTATCTTTGTTTAATCGTGTTTATGGTTGTTTAAGTGCTGGATTTTTGGTTTAAAAATGTAATCTTTGATGAGTTTGAATCCACCTTGAGTTGTTTTTTGATGGGTTTTTGTGTTTTTTGGTAATGGGATTGTTTTGGGTTTTTGTATTTTAGAGTAATGTCTCCAACGGAGAAAGACTTACCCATCATGTGTTGTTCGTGGTTGTATTTTGTTGTTCTTTCCGTATTGTTATTTGTTTATTTGTTTATTTATTTATTTTTTTTTTAACTTTCAATAAGTGCTAAACCAAATTTTAATCTTTTTTTTGGTATTTTGGGTATCCTCTGTTTGGGTTGTTGTTGTTGTTTGGGTATGCTCTGTTTGGATGCTCAGAGAGATAGGATTTACTTTTGGATATGCTCTATAAGAAACTACAATTTACATTTAGTTTTGGTTCTTTACATTTGGTTTTGGATATGCTCTATATTTCACATTATCTTTTAATTTGATAATGCGTATACTGAGAAATTACAATTTTTTTCTTTAACTTGATTTCTCATATTGAAGACTCAGGGCAAATACTTGGAGAGAACTCGACCACTATTGGCTGCTCTTTAACTCTATTTCTCATATTTAATACAGTAGCTGAGCAATCTGGTAACATTTTCATCCTGGTACAACCTTATTTTTGTTAATTTTCCAATTTATCTCTTTACTCGGTCACCTTTAAGCAAATCACAATTGCGCCTCTACATTTATCCGCTCATTACTATTTATGTTTGCTGCTTATTGTTCATTGGGATTGGTTCTAAAATTCTAATTTGTTTAAGCAATGACGAACTGGAATTGATTTTGAAATTCCGTCACTATGCAAAATTGCAAATGGGTGATCAAATACAACAACAACAACAACAACAACAACAAAGCTTTTTCCCACTAAATGGGTGATCAAATGAAACACATAATTTTGATACACTTGGCTAAAGCATTGGAATTCCATCATTAATAAATTGAAAAAACCAACAAAAATCCTTGCTTTTAAGCAACATACTGATGAAGTTGACCCAACCTAAGATAACCATATCTATGTATATGTACAAGAAAAAACTGTTGGACAATTATATATACATAGTTCATATCAAAATTTATTTACATAGTTCACACAGAAATATAGGTGTTGGTAGCATAAGCAATACACAACTTATTTATAAAAACTTCAATATCTGTTTAGCTCTTTATCACTGAAAATAGATAGCTATTTTATTTACCATTTGCAATTAAAGTTGAACAATGCTTGCTCCCAATAAATATTTGAAATTAGCTATGTATTTTGTTTTGCTCTTATTTTGGGGTTTCCTTCAAAATTTCTAATACTTGGAAAAGGTGGTAAATGTGCATGTTTTATATGCATGTTTCAGATTGTTTTGAGTTAATGAGCTGGTGGTTTGTGTTGCTCAAGTAAGATGAGAATATATTTGTGTTGCCAACTATGGATTGCAATGGATATGTGTGTTGCATCATCTGATATCAATTTAATACATTTTATTGAATACAATTTTACTCTCATCTTTTGAGAGTTCATTGAATTAGAGCAATATTATTGAAAATTTTGTTGCTGAGAATTTTGTGGGATTTCCTGAAGCACGGATTCTCATCTTTACACGGCCCATTTAATTTTGCTTAATGCTGATGTATGAGGAGAACTCTCATTGCATCAACCTCAGCAAACATGCTTTGGCTTAGTGGCTAACCCAGTTAATTTTTATGCTCTATTTGCCTTCTCCATTTCCAGTTGAATGAATTGGTTAAAGTTTTTGTGACTGCAAATTATATTGGTTAATGAACGCCTTCAAGAGTATTCTGATTTGGTCCCTTATGTATCTATATAGTATCAAACTATATAACTTTCTTTTGCATGATCCTTTACTGTATTTCTTTGCTGTTGCACTAGATTTAACCTTGATTCTTAACTAATATGTGATGGTGGATATGCAGTGCTTTTATTCAGGAGTATCAGAACTGGGACATGACATGGGCTTTGCCAGCATTATATGTCATGCTTATGAGATTAGGGTTCTAGCTGAGAGGGTAAGTTCAATAAATTAGTTTTGTTTCAATAACGAGATATGTGCTTTATTTAGTAATTGGTTGTTGATATGTTGGGAAGACGGATCGACTAAGACTATTACGTGTGGTTTTGTAGACTGTTTTGGTTCTTTATTGAACATGAGAATCATAGAATGTAAATAAATTTTAATATAGATGAGAATAAATTTAATATATTTCACATGTTTAACACAGTTTTAAAACCCGCGGCATCGCGCGGGCTCAATTTCTAGTTTTAGCTAAAACTTTTCTTAGAATTAGTATTTAAACTAAAAAATCCCAAATTGTTTTTACTGCAAACGATATTTACTAGTCTAGGAGGAGGATTTGAACTCAAAACATACTGCAAGATGAAGATGCTATCTACTAGCGCAATTTACCATTTGCTAGCTTGAAATATTTCACACCACTTTAACACTACGATCTAGTGGAATTACAATTTACTTGTAATTGAGATGGTTTCAGCTTATATGGACGGTGTCACAATGAGTTTGATGACAAATGATTATGGTTGGCCAGTTGCGTGGCTTAGCCCTAATCACCGTCCCCTTAGTGTAACTAAATTGCCATAAAAGTGTACGGTAAAAAATTACTAATTATATTTTGCGAGGGACTTCGTAACTTAGTTTATTAGGAGTATTGTATTTCCACCCCAAGTTTTGAATTAAATTTCCCGGCTTGCTCTTGTGAGTGTCAGTAAGTGTGAGTCATTAATGCAAATTTGTAAAATTACTGCCTTAACATAAAAATATAAAGTTAAATTATACTCGTACGTAGAATTTTTTTCTCATCAATGAAACTCAATCTACCTAATTACTTGTTAGATTGATAAACTCAATCTAACTGCCTTGGTTCCTCAGTTTTGGATTTTCTGGTAATTTTTTATGTGACCCAATTGCCGAAATTTGATGGATTGAGAAATATAACAATGTATTTGAATTTGATTACCAAATTATATTTTAGCATTGTTGTAATGAAATGTATTACTGACTGTAATTGGTTTTCTGAATTTTCTTGTCTTAATAGTTTGTTGAGCATTTGATTAGACAAAAGCTACTTCCTTTATTATCAATTTTCGTTCTGTAAATTGACATCTACAAATGTTTTTGAGTAATATTTGAAGAAGGTTGAGGTTCAACATAAAACTAATTGGCAATGTGGGGAGTAGTTCAACCTCTTATAAGCCAATGCAAGGTCCCTCCTCCCATCAACGTGTGACTCATTCTCAACACGCCCCTTCACGTGTAACAAATTTTCAAGCCTAACACGTGGACAACACAACGGAGTGACGGAGACTGTGTGTGGCCGTTTGGCTTCACATGTGGGACAACCTGCTCTGATACCATAGAAAAAGTGAAGGTGACAACCATAAAATCAATTGGCAATATAGGCAGTTGGCCCATAATGGAAATACGTGACATGTTGATTCACGATGTAGTGTGGCAGAAATTGATGAAATTGATTTTTCAAAGTTACTAGACAAAACAAAGCCCTCTGAATATGGAAAGAAAAAGTTCATATGATAAGAGGTCACATGACGAACTATCTGTTGGGGGTGTCCCTAGCAATCATCGAGAAATGCTGAGAACATTTCCAGATTTTTTGAACATCCTGAGTATGTATTTTTGCCCTGTAGTAGAATGTCACTCATGGGTACCCCTAGGTCACTGATGGGCTTTGAGCCACATAGTGGCGGATGCATTGAGGGGGCAGGGGCTCAGATGATCCTCTGAACTTCGATGAACGTCCATAGATACTTTAGGTGTTGATCTTTCGAACTTCGGTGAATGTTCATAGATATTTTGGGTGTTGCCCTTATGAAGATTAGAGTTGGCTTCATACATGCCCTTCAACTGACTTCAGGCCTACCAAGACTCGTGAATGTCCATGGATACCTTAGGTGCTGCCTCATGCATACATTAACAGGTGTGCAATATATTTTTCCAAATGACTTTAGGCCTACCAAGACTCGATGAAATGGCGATATGCATGCTATTTCTAGTAAAAAAAATTTACGCGTGCGCATCGCTATTCTTACTGTACCCTCTAATATTATTTCCTAGATCCGCCACTGAAGCCACATCCAATGGTTGCTGAAGCTTGGTAAACTTTGAGGCGTTCATTGGTGTTTTGCCGTGGTCAGCCGGTTGGAACAATTGCTGCCTCAGATACCACTGAAGAAAATCTTAACTATGACCGGGTAGAGACCGTTTGTCCTTGTTTGTCCGATTAGATATAGCTATCATAGGTTTTTTTTTTCAAACCAGTAGCTACGTTTTATATCGTAATGGTTGGAACACTGACTCTATAATGAATCTGGTAAGTAATAAAAGAGGGAAACTAAAGCTTCATTGTTTGCATATTTCCATTTGTTAATCTTTTCAATCTCTTGCTTATGTTAACATGATAGAGATACTCAACACACCCAAGGAACATGAAATGCATTGTGTTATCCTGCTTATCAGTCTGTTAGTCGTCTTGGAGAGTTACATCTTTAGCTTCTGTTGACTACTATGTTTATATGCATACATTGGTAAGACTTTTGATGCATCTGGCTGTTTAAGAGGAAGCGAGTTTCCAACCTCCATAATTAACTTTCTGATTGGACGGCTCCGATAAGATGTTTCAAATTGTGGATGTGTGCTGTTTATAATTGGCCCTTGATATGCTTCGTGCAGGACATTTTTATTTTTGTTGACAAAAGAATATAGATTTAGTTATCCCTTTATGCTTTTCTTTGACTGAAGTTCGCTAGTTGTAGGCAGAGTTTTTGATACATGAAGTTGGCAAGCACAAATTTTGTTCTTATTTTTTCTTTTTATGGATCCGTGAAGGTGTTTGTTCGAGACTTCGTCCCCAGCTGATTGGCTTTTTTTCTAATGAATGGTGAACCAGAAATAATTAAAAAAATTATCTTCAGTCATCGGAGAAAAAGATTTATAGGTTTTCATCTAGGAGAAGGAGTAATGCCAGCTATTTTCAAAGTACTAGATGATCCAGTCAGGAACAGCAAGACTTTAATAGCACATTTTGGTGAGAGTGCGGTAGGAAGAGTTGCTCCTGTTTATTCTTGATTTTGGTGGATCATATTGCTTCGAGCATGCACGAAATCCACTAGAGACTCTTCATTGGCTGCACTGCCTGAATGCCAGAAGATATGCTGCGTATTCTAAGTTTATGCCTATCTGAGGGGTTCGACACATTTCCAACCCTTCTTTGTGCTGATCGATGCTACATAATTGATTGTAGAATGGTGAATTTTCATAATTATGTCGAGTCCTGTATTTTTATCGTACGGTATGATGCATGCCAGATATACCTGATATCAAACATCCACGGTTAAACCTTTGAAATATTAGCATACGCATAAGTTGTTAGTTTTGGAGCTTGTAACTTAAGTCTACGACATATTGAAATTCAAATTATCCTTCCATGAGTAATGGTCTTACTGAATTTGCTGTCCACCCGGTCAGCCATCTCTTCTGTTTCATTATCAATTAAATTGCTGAAAAAGATTAAATAAGAAAATCTATATGGATTACATTTTCTTGTAATACAAGGCATTTCGGACATGCTCTAACAAGCATCTCTAGATATTCATCACTTATCATTTCAAGTCGTTTTCCATTTATGTTTTGAGATAGATATGCAGCCAGAGTTTTTAGATATTGTATATAAATTATGTGTTGCCTATCGTTTTCTTTTAGCTCACTTCTGTATTGGTTATGTGTTTTCAGGTTCTTTTCTTCATGGTTTTAATATGTGCTTTTGCTTTTGGTTAAGCACGATGACGAGGGGAAGGAGTTTATTGAAGGAAAGAATCACAACTGATTTGATTACATCTTGTAATTGCTGTCATTAAAACAACTTACATAGAATAGGTCCTAGAATAGTGGATCGTATCATATGTAAACTGTATATATGCTGTAAGACTTTACACAATGCAATACACATAAATTATTCTCATTACAAATTTCTATTTGGTATCAGAGCCATCGCTCTTGAGAACCTAGAAATTCATACAAATGAATACCTCATGACTGGTGACGAAGAGTAGAGACTCATTGAACCCGGAAAGGGCTCGAACTCTTCCAAGACCTCAGAATCATGGGAGAATTCCAATCATCCTCTTTTCCTCCATCATTCAGACCAACCAGGTGCGGTCTTTGTTTCACAACCACTGATGAAAGACAATTATACAACGTGGGTGCAGTCAATGAACATGGCGTTCACCATCAAAAACAAGAAAGGTTTTATTGATGGAACCCTAAAAAGGCCGACTCACAATCCTGATAAACAACTGCAATGGGACTGATGCAACGTCCTTGTCAAAACTTGGCTGCTAGGAGCCATGTCAAAAGACATCTCGAGCAGTGTTATCCATTGCAAGGATGCTAGAGGTATGTGGTTAGAGTTGTAAGAAAGACTCTCTCACACTAATATGGTTTCGTTGTTCCATATAGAGAACGCCATACATGAATGTGAGCAGGGCACAAACTCAGTCACTTCCTTCTTCACAAAACTCAAAAGCCTATGGGATGAAAAGGATGCTCTCTGTTCTTTTCCTACTTGTAGCTGAAGTTAAGAAGTTTATGGAGACGCAAAAGACCATGAAATTCCTTATGGGACTTAATGAGAATTTTGCACAGACCCGCAACAACATCATAGGGTTAGATCCACTTCCGAACCTGAACAAAGCTTATGCGATGGTACTACGCCAAGAGAAGCAGGCAGAAACTACTGCTGGCAAGTCCACGGCACCACAAGAATCTTCTGTTTTTGTAGTAAAGAAAGTGACTCGTGATTTCAAGTCTATAGAAGGAGAAGCAAAATTCTGTGAAAAATGCAACATGACCAACCACAACATAAAGAACTGCAGAGCTCATCTCAAATGCACATATTGCAATGGGAAGGGACATACATATGACTACTGTCGAAGGAGGAAGAATGCTACTGAAAGTGGCCAAGCAAGATCAAAAGCAAATCATGTAGCTCCTCAAGATGATCAAAAGGAAGCTGTGAGTGAGTTCCTTTTTTCACGAGAAAAGTGTCATCAACTTCTTAATCAGCTCCTAACCAAAACGAAGGCTGTTTCAGCCAATTTGGTCGGTAACATTCCCAATTATGAAGAGCTTTTAGGTAAACTTTGTTCAGGTGCACAAAATAGTAAAGAGCCAACATGGATATTAGATAGTGGTGCAAG